AGAAAGATGAGGGGGGAGGGAGGGGGGGCGAAAAAAGTTAAGCTCAGAAGCGGGGTTTTCGTTTCGGATTATAATTAACAGGCTACCGGACAGATGGTGAGATTTCGGGTTCGGGGTTCGAGCCTCAGCTCCGTCCGACGTTGTGTCCGTGGGAAAGGCACTCTACACGAATTTCCCATCTGGCTCAGTCCTTTCGGAGGTGGACGTTTAATTAACTAGAGGTCATGCCTCTTAAGTAACCTAGTGGAGTTGATAGGGGCGTTAAACCTATACCATTTCAACATTTGAAATTTCTTCTTTCGGAGATGGGTGTTAAAACTTGGAGGTCCTTCCTCTTTAAGTAACCTAAACGTGATGATAGGGGCGTGAAACCTATACCATATGTGAGGCAGCGTGGTGGAATCAGGCTCTCGTCAAAATAATGAAATAGAAGAAAACAGCAGTTTTCTCCTTGCTTTGCAATTTTTGTCAAATTTTTGTTTTTTGGCTCAACACCTTTTATGTCAATTTACAAATACATTCCTTTAAGGGTTTCACCAAAAACATTGATTAAAGGCACAAAAATGTAAATTTACAATTTCCATGGACTCTCCAGCTTTGGAATTTACCAACTTTTGGCGGTCATATTCTCGCTAATGTTACCTCTTAAATCAGGTGACACCCACCACTTTCAATCCAAAATATATCCACTTCTATTGAAGATGTATTTGTCATTTTTTCATTGAAAGCAAGACAAATGAACAAGCTTTAAGATGATACCAATAACTCAATATGCCAAAAAATTGACGAGAGCTTGATTCCACCACGCTGCCTCGCAATTATCACAATGTTCAGCTCATACAAACTTGCTTTTTACACGATAGCTTTCGTTCCTCCACAAATTAGCTTCTTTACAAAAAAGAAAATGAACACCAAAAAAAAAAAAAAAAAAAAAAACTTACGATAAAATTCATCCAGTGCGATCATCTCGTTGCTTCCTCCTCCTCTCCTGCTTCCTTCATCCCATCCTTTTCGTCCCCGAAGGCTTCTGTCTTTCCCTCCATAAATGCTGTCTAGGTCCGATGTTGAGAACCAGCCGCCATCTTTGAAGTCGTCGCCATAGAAACCGTTGTTGGTGTAGCCATGTTTGCCTGGAGGAGAACAATTTGTGAGGCAGCGTAGTGTCATCAGGCGTTCTTCAAAATAAGGAAATCTGAGAAATCGGCATTTTTCGGTCTGTCTGGAAGATATTTTTTCGAATTTTTTATTTTTTTTATTTTTTAGCTCAACACCATGTATGTCCTTTCAAAAATACTTTTATGTGTGGATTTTACGGAAAAACGTTGATAAAACGCACAAAAATTCAAATTTGCAGTTTCCAAGGGCTATGGAAGTCACCAAACTTTTGGGGACCATTTTCTCGCTATTTTTACCTCTGAAACCAGACGAACCCACCTCCTTCAATTGCAAATATTTCGACTTCTATTCAAGATAAATAGACATTTCATCGAAAGCAAGGTAAAGG